ATCTAACCCCAGCCTTTGCTCTGAAACTCACTATTTGAACCAAGACCAAAACAAAGACCCAGGTACTGTAGCATCATATGAATATTGAGTTGTCTGAGGAAAGAGACGGTGCAGAAGCAGCTCTGAAAGGACGTCTGATTTCTGCCCAACACAAGCTGTAATGAAAAGCCAGTGGGGAGTTAAAGCACTGTCTTAGGACATGAGGTATCACACCAAACACAAAGCAGAGGGAAACCTAGACTTAATAAAAATTTTAAAATAAAAATAACTGCATTATAATACAGTGTTTTTAGGGCTGATAACAATTAATTGAAACCTGTTTATGCGACTTCATATAAAAGGTGCCAGTGTTTATCCCCTACATCCAGTTGCCTTTCAGAAAGCAGTCAAAAGGCATTCATTAAATGAAGAGTAGAAATTCCTTATTGATGCAATTAGAGGAACTCAAATGTGCAGCAGCAAAAGCAAGACCACTTCCTGCACACATTTGTCTCAGTGCTCATTAGAAATTCTCTTTTCAAGACTGTCAAAGATATTTATGTAGCTGAGGAAATCATTAAATCTGTCATTTTATTCTATTTCTTTTTATTTGCTGGGCTGAGCTTTTTAGGGTTTTGTGATGTGTTTTGCACACTGTCCCTCTAATAACTAAACAAAGCTTCATTACTTACAAAGCTGAACAGTGTACATTTTAGAAATACTACAACTGCAAAGGGCTTTCAGAGAAAATTGGGTACTCACTGAGCTGAGTGCATCCAAAAATCCTTAAAGAAATCAGTGACAAATTACTTTTCTCTCCCTAACAACATTACAGAATTCACAGATGTTCATCTTTAATGCGTAGTCATTCATCAGTAATTCTCAAAAATACAGATTTATAGCACAGCTACTCCCTGCCCTCCCTTTCCCAAAGTCATGTATTTCTGTTGGATGCAGAAGAATATAACATTCCCCAGATTTCCAAATAAATCCTACCTCTTGACTATCAGGAAGGGGGTAGGGAGTGAGGTAGATGTGTGTGTGTGTGTGTTGCATTCCTGAAATAATATAATGGCACCTATATAGAAGCAAGTCAATAATTTCATTATCTCTATTTTGCAACCTGATTTGATTTAGTAAACTGCACGTCTTCAATCAGTTGGGAGGGAATGTTTCTACAAAGCAGTTTCACTGCAGCAGATTAGAAAAAGCAAAACCTTAGCAAAATCTTCTCCTGAATTTTTACTGGACAAAACCTAATCACAGCCAACTCCCTTGAAATATGCTAGATAACATGAAAACAAAGCTAGATGACATCTCTGGAAAAGAACTAATGCGTTTAAGGGGTTTTGTTTTTTTCATATAATGAAACCCTTCTCATTTTCAAGGACTGTAGTGAAGAAATAGCTGAGAGTAGAAGCTTGAGACTGTACTGAACCCTGCAACACTGAGACCCTGTTTTACTGAGTACGAAGATGATCCCACACGATTAATAATGCAAATGCTTAAGATGCTTTCACAGTACTGAGCAGCCTGTGATTTTTGACTTGAGTTGTACCTTGAAAGTTGCTAGTAAGAAGCCAATACACATCAAATTATCTTTCCTATTATGGGATTCAGTTTTCTACCAGCAGGTCTTGGTCATCTCTGTACCGAATGATTATTTTGCTGTAAACTTTGTGTTAAGAACCATCTCCGTACTTCTACAGGCTTTAATCTCTGCAGTTGTGACTAATATTAGGCACAGCCAAACCAAGAAAGATTTGGCCCAAAACACACATACATTATATATACATAAATATATATACACATGTGTCTGTGTATATATATAAGAATAAAAGAACATTTTGATTTTTAGTTTTGGGAGGGCTAACTGCAATCAGAAAATAATTTCATGCTATTAATTTAGAATTTTTGCTATTTGAAAACATTCAATACATCTTCTAAAACTTGTTACTGGAGTGTGATTGTGAATGAGTTGTATGTAACTGAGTTTGACTTTCCATGCTTTCTTCTATGTTTCTTTAATGCCTTGTCCTGACCATAACAATACTCAGAAGGAGCCAATCCATAACCTCCTACAGAAAACAATACCTGTAAAATTATCACTAGGTCCCTTTGAAAAATTATGAGTATGAAAAAGAAAACAAAGCCAGTATGCCATTAATCACAGATGGATAACAAAAATAACAATGAAAATCCAGCATGTCCACAGACATGCACAGATCAACTAATTCATTTATTGCCTGAAAAACTACAGATTCACTTTTCATGAATTTCCAAACACATACCAAACACAGATGAAGGTATAGTTGCTGCTATAGTCATTGATAATGAAACCACTGTCTACGCAACAAAAAAGATGCCCAGTATAACTCTTTGAACCTTCTTGCACAGATTGAGACCTGGGAGCTGAGTTTTTTAATCCCACTCTGGTGGCTATTTCTTAGAATACAGTTTAAGCCCACTTTATAGCATGATAATATACATTACAAACCCCACGCTTTCATCTGTGCAAAGACTACAAGAACTAAGCTAAACTTGGTCTCACCACTGTCACATTAAACACTATAGAAGTGACTTGTTTTGTGTGACTAGGCCACCAGTGTCACAAATTCTAATAATCTTGTAGGGAACAACCTGGTTTTAGCTGAGCAACATTCAGTCCCTGTGAAAGGCTGCCCCTTTCCTGAACACAAAGTGTTAAAGCCTCAAGGATTCCAAAGAAGAAATTTCTCCTTTGCTTCTCTCCAGTTTGGGCAGCAGGTATGTAGAATTCTGATCCCACTTTGTTTGGGGTTTGGATATTTTAGTGCCAGTCTCTCATAAAACTCTTAAAACCTTGCTGGAGTGATGTCAAGGAATCCTCAGAGGATACACCAGAGCTATGATGGCTCCTAGAAACTCCTAAACCTTTAGGCATTTAGGCACCAACTTGAGGAAGGAGATGTGATTGAGTGCCTCTAATGACCTGGCTATCCTTTACAAGATCTGATGCTGCCTACGAATTCCAAGTTAGGAGAGCAACAATGCATTTTGAAGGTGTCTAGGGTTTGTCATGTTCTGTTGGGGATTTTATGTTTGGGCGGCTTTGGGTTTTTTTGTTTTGTTTTTGGTTAGTGGTGGGGGTTTTGGTTTTGTTTTTGTTTTTTATTTTTGTGTGTGTGTATGTGTGTATTGGTTTTGGTTGGTTGGTTGGTTTTTTTAATCTTCTATTCTGTTCTGGGGCAACCACTTGAAGACCAGAGCTTTTCAACCCACGGACAAAGTGCAGTTACTCTTCCATGCCTGTTTTCATTTTCATTGGTTTTGCAGTCTACATTTATTTAAACAACATTAAGATAAATGTTAGTTGGAATCACCACACAAAACTGTTCCATTTTAGTGTGCACCCCAAAAATCTTAAGATAAATCAGGACTTCCTCTGCTAGACACTATACAAACACCTTTCAACAGTCTCTTACATTAAATGTTTTTATCGTGTATTGAGAAGACAGACAGAAGATGGCAAATAAACATGACTGATTTGAGGTAATTTGCTCAAGATCACACACCAGTTGAATACCGGGAATATAATCTAGTCTCCTCACATCAAGACATCCTTCTAGCCAGTGGATTACTTGGCCTCTCAAATAAACGATTTAGCTCCTGGAATATTCAAGGAGTATTTCAGAATAATAAACCACACAGAAGGCAGGTCTTTGGGAAAAGAAAATAACTAATGTACCAAGCAAATTCAAGGAGACTGGTAATGTTCATTCACTGTGTTGAGATTACCTCCAGCAATTGCAGAGTAAAGAGAATAATAATGAGAGCAAGTGGCTTGAGTATAATAAATACAAGCTTCTCTGCTGGCTGGTAGGTTTTCATTACTCACTATCTGCACTTACACAGTCATCACAGCTTAAGGTTTGGCAATGCTCCTTTTTTTATTATTATGAAATAGTGAGCCTTGATATAAAATGCAATTTCAAGATGAACATAAATGTAGAATATTCCTGCAAACACAATTAGAAATTTTCAGTTTGCTGCAAGCTAATGGTCTTTGCTGTCAGCCACTCAACTCTAGATAAATATTCTCTCAGATGAATTTCTGTGGAACAATAGTGACATCCAGCGGGTAGTTAGCTTAATCACAGGTATCTATTGTCTAGATCAATTCACACACAGATAAGTTTGCTCTTACTCTGCATTCTTCTGTATCATATGGTAATAAAAAAATCCTTTCAGCATACATTCAACTGTATCCATGTATAGGAGTTATAAGTTGAATGCAGTGAATAAGTAAAGAAAATAAGAGTAGATGAATGCTAGCAAGGAATAGTCTATCTAGCGTGTAAGTCTCTACAGTCAGTAAAAGGCAAGAAACATACAAATGAGCAAGGACAGGAGCTGTAACAAATTTGTGGCCACTGATTTAGAGCTTATTACTTAAAAAACACCACTGACTTTAAGATACTACAAAATAAACTCAGACTACAAACAACTCATTCAACCCCCTAACAGCGAAAATCAAAAAAATAAATAAAAAAAAATTTGTTTATTTTTACAGTAATGAGAGAATGATATTATTAGACATTAAAACGTAGAGCACCCACCACCTGGGAACA